TCTTAATGCTGTTTTTCTAAATCTGACATTGATGTTAGTCAGTGCTGTGTGTGTGTGTGCTTGTGAAACACTGCTATACTGAGCTTACATGGGTGTTGTTGTAAGCTGTAAATGTTGATTTACCTACTCGGAACAAAAGGTCCAAGTAGCACGGACTATGGTGAGCCCATAGTGGATATATTTGGCACTGGAACGGGGCTATAAGTGATGGCTTACAAGAAGAAATCTAGGCATTTATAACTGTGAGTTCACCTTACTCTACGATTCACCTTTGAGAATACAATTGTTCGATGGGGCTCCATTGACCCAGAGGGAAGATGTAAGACCTGGCAGACAGCTAGAAGCCGGAGTCAGGCAACAACCACCTCACCCTACCCTTCGCCGCTCCCTACGATTAAGGGAGTTAGGTGAGTCGTAGAGTGAGGTGTGCCTTGTGGATAAGGAAATCAAAGGACACGCTCTTGCCTTTGCCAAAGGAAGCCTGCTTAACCGAGAAGCTACAGTCAAATTCCAAGGAAAAACATCGACCTCAAAGAGGTGGAAAATGGGGACTCCTCAGGGAGGAATACTAAGCCCCTTCCTCTTCAACTGTCTCATGGAATAATTCATGAAGCTCAAGTTACCAAAAGCCAAACTGCTTAACTATGCAGACGACTTCGTGGTTATTATCAATGGCAAAGGCGCCAGGAAACATGCACAAAAATGCCTAGATATTATCAGCAGGGAAGCGGAACGCACAGCAGTGAAAATAAACAGCAATAAAATCAAAGCAATGGCCGTTAAAATGAGAACTCAAGACATCAGACACGCAAAGCAAGAACATGAAATTGAGTGGGTTACCTCTTTTCAGTACCTTGGAGTCATAATAGACAGCCAGTTGAAATTCACTCAAGAAATTGAATATCTTCGGCAACGTTGTAAAGCTAGAAACTCAGCTTTGCGCTCTCTGACCAGTCTTAGAGAGGGTGCATCTCTACCAGTACTCAAAATGTACTACGTTCAAGTAGTTAGGTCACTCATCGACTATGTTGCTCCTGCTCTTACATCCCTCAGTGATAACCAATGGGAGAAACTGGAAGTGTCTCAAAATGATGCCCTCAGAACAATGCTGGGAACACCTATATGGCCACGTCGAGAGAATCTAAGAATGGAAACTAACTTACCAGCATTAGAAAACAGTATCAAACAAATAATAGCCACCATAACAGCAAAACTTGTTGGAACCACCGCCAGACTGTCAATCAAAGATAGCATACACAGATCGCTTCAGAGAAACCTTCAATATAGAACAAGTTCATGGACGGATAATCTAGTGAAGATTCTAGAGAAAGTGGACTTGAAATGGGCAATTAAAAATAAAGGAGAAGATAGACCATATCAACACTTTCGGCAGCCTCCTCCATGGGAAGAATCGAATCTAAAGACAATCATTGAAGGATTACCAGTTAAAAAATCAGGCATGTAACCCGCAGAGGCTCAAGGAAGTAATAGAACAACAAATGGAAACCATCTCAAGACCTACAACGACTCACATCTTCACAGACGGATCAGTTGATCAAGAAAGAGGTTATGTTGGGGCAGCAGTTTACACTACCAACCATGGAGCTTACTGGAGCATGAATAGTGGGTACTCAACATTGCAAACAGAATTATATGCCCTGAAGGAGGCCATAAAGTATACAATTGAGAATAATTTACATGATGTCATCATTCACTCCGACTCTAAATCTTCGCTCAAAATCTTCGCTAAATCTATACAACTCCTCAAAGAAATCCAACATATAGGAAAAGAAGCCCATAATCTAGGGCTGTCAATCACCCTAAATTGGATACCAAGTCACATTGGCATAGATGATAATGAAAAGGCAGACTCACTAGCAACAACTGTCACTGCTCTACCTGTTGTACAGGTTCAAATACCTCCAAGTTTTTCATAGATTAAGGAGCAAATCAAGAAGAAAATACTCCCAACTATCGAAAGTCGCCACAGAGCCAAAGTAGCGGAAGGAAGATCCACTGCGATATGGTACGAACAAGCCACTGGGTACTCCTCTTTCAAGCCTGGCAAAAAGATATCCAGAGACATTGCAGTAGCCATACACAGACTCAGACTTAGTTACAAGTGCTGCTGGGAGGTAATAAACCCAATCACATCTGTGGAACAAAGCGTCACATCTGTGGAACAAAAGCAGAGGCGCCACTATTGCACTACTTACTGGAATGTGAAGCTACTGAAGCCCTGCGCATCAAACTCAACATTAATCCAACGACAGCAGCTGCATTAGATGCACATTCCACCGCGACTGCAATGATTAGAAAAACCGGTAAAGAATGGGACTCACTAGTGAACATTCTGCACCTACATCAGCCACTAAGATAATGTTATTAAAACAAGACTAAAAGAGAAGCGAAAAAGAAACAGGAAAAAAGGAGGAAACCCCCACCTCCATTTAATACTCTGACCCATATATCAGAGTAACAAGGTTATCGCGAATAACCGAAATCAATTACTTGCTTACCATAGCCCGTGCTACATGGAGATTTCGTTCTGAGTAGCTGAATCTAAAACAACAACAACAACAGCAACCTTATAAGCGAAGCTACGGGCTCACCATAGCCGGTGAACTATATACACCATAAACCCAACACATGTATGTATAACACATGTATATAACATGTAGCGTCCAGGAAGTGTAACAAGTTTACTGTAGAATTTTACAGATGGATTGATGAAGATAAAGCCACCCCTCCCCACAAGAGGTGGCACGGGCATGAATAGCCCGTGACCCTCTTTACACCCATGTCTGCTGTGTTATGTGCTTGGCTAAGGTGTGTGGTGCATTTTCAGCCGCCCCGCAGGCCCAGATCATCGGGGCACCGGACATGCACGTCGACATGGGCTCCACCATCAACCTGACCTGCACGATCGCGCACAGTCCTGAGCCTCCAGCCTTCATCTACTGGTACCACAACGGCAAGGTGAGGACCATGGCACTGTTGTTCCTTCTGGCACCATAACTGCAAGGTGAGGACCATGGCACTGTTGTTCCTTCTGGCGCCATAACGGCAGGGTGAGGACCATGGCACTGTTGTTTCCTTCTGGCGCCAAACCGGCAAGGTGAGGACCATGGTACTGTTGTTCCTTCTGGCACCATAACGGCAAGGTGAGGACCATGGTACTGTTGTTCCTTCTGGCACCATAACGGCAGGGTGAGGACCATGGTACTGTTGTTCCTTCTGGCACCATAACGGCAGGGTGAGGACCATGGTACTGTTGTTCCTTCTGGCACCTCAACGGCAAGGTGAGGACCATGGCACTGTTGTTCCTTCTGGCACCATAACGGCAGGGTGAGGACCATGGTACTGTTGTTCCTTCTGGCACCATAACGGCAAGGTGAGGACCATGGTACTGTTGTTCCTTCTGGCACCACAACGGCAGGTGAGGACCATGGTACTGTTGTTCCTTCTGGCACCATAACGGCAGGGTGAGGACCATGGCACTGTTGTTCCTTCTGGCACCATAACGGCAGGGTGAGGACCATGGCACTGTTGTTCCTTCTGGCACCATAACGGCAGGGTGAGGACCATGGCACTGTTGTTCCTTCTGGCACCATGGTACTGTTGTTGTTCCTTCTGGCACCATAACGGCAGGGTGAGGACCATGGCACTGTTGTTCCTTCTGGCACCATAACTGCAAGGTGAGGACCATGGTACTGTTGTTCCTTCTGGCGCCATAACGGCAGGGTGAGGACCATGGTACTGTTGTTCCTTCTGGCACCATAACTGCAGGGTGAGGACCATGGCACTGTTGTTCCTTCTGGCGCCATAACGGCAGGGTGAGGACCATGGCACTGTTGTTCCTTCTGGCACCATAACGGCAGGGAGAGGACCATGGCACTGTTGTTCCTTCTGGCACCATAACTGCAAGGTGAGGACCATGGCACTGTTGTTCCTTCTGGCACCATAACTGCAGGGTGAGGACCATGGCACTGTTGTTTCTTCTGGCGCCATAACTGCAGGGTGAGGACCATGGTACTGTTGTTCCTTCTGGCACCATAACTGCAGGGTGAGGACCATGGCACTGTTGTTCCTTCTGGCACCATAACGGCAGGGTGAGGACCATAGGACCAATGTTTCTTGTAACACCCTTCATAGTTACAGGTTCTTAAGAGAGAAGTCGTAAAAGAATATTACTTCATATTCTGTTGTTAGGAATCATTAATATATTACAGAGTTTTAATTTTTACTAATGCGTCGCATTTCTAACGGACTGCTTGATTCCGTAAAGAAGGTGACGCATTAGGTGACAGGACGGGGTTGGCCCTAAATTTTAAGAAATGTAATATAGACATTGAAATTGAATTTGTAGTGAATTCCCAGCAGCTTGCAGGCCCTTGAGGAAGTCAAAAAAATGTGAGTCGAGGAACACATCGAGTGACTCTGCGGTTCCTTGGAGTCTGATAAAAGTTTGAAGTTCAAGATAAGAACTTTTTGGGAAAAGTTTGACGTCATCTAATGTTCGTTTTAATATACGCAGGAAGCTAAGGAAGACCACATATTATACCATTCAGTATATATTTGATTTTATTTCATTTATTAATATATAATTATGTGTGTAAATCACCAAGAAATTGACAGGTGACGAACAATGTCAGACCACGAAGGAAGGATTATGACAGGAATTTCCTTAAGTACTTTCGTATATAATAATACATCTTCAGGAAGATCATGATCCTTCTAAAGATGGATTATTATATAGAAACTAGCAGTACCCGGCCACGCATTGCTGTGGCTCAGCAACGCATGTGCAGTGAGACACAGCAACCTTCCCTGTCCCTCAGTCCCCCCTCACTCGTCTCCTCGGCCTCCCAATCATTCCCCATTCCACCGTCCCCCTCTTCCTCCCCACCATGCCCCACTCCCCTGTCCCTTTGTCCTCCCCACCATGCCCCATCCCCTCGTCCCCACCATCCCAAACTCCCCCGTCCCCTAGTCCTTCCCTACCCATTACCCATTACTTCCGATGCTTTCCCAAATGGTCTGATGTTCCCATCAGAAAATTGGAAACATCAAGTGATCTGATGTTCCCATCACTGATATATAAGAAAAACAGTTAAAAAATGAAATGAAAATCTGAAAAAAATAAACTATACTCACGAAATGAACGGTATGGTAAACAACACAGCTCAATTCCAACGCAATTCGTTCAAAATAATTAAATCAAAATGGAAATAAATCAAAAGCTATGAAAATTCAATTTATCAATGCAATCAGAAACATTGAAATGGAATTCGTAACATATTTAGTATAGCATGTGTGTTGCTCTTACATGCAACAGATGGCACTGTTTTTCAAGAAAAGCATAGTTTTACCTGTCACAGGTGTGTCATCTGTACTTATACTTACGAAATGAACGGTATGGTAAACAACACAGCTCAATTCCAACACAGTGTCACACAAAATAATTCAATAAAAAATAAAATAAATCGAAATCTATGAAAATCAAATTTATCAATGCAATCGGAAACATTGAAATGGAATTCGTGACATATTTAATATAGCGTGCATGTTGCTATTATGTGCAACAGATGGCGCTTTTTTTCAAAAACAAATATTTATACCTGTCACAGGGGTGGCATGTATATAGTAGGTATATAAAAACACGCGCCTATTCAAATGCAACGTTGTGTCAAAATTTCAAAGCAATCGGTAAAGAGGTTTCGAAGATTTCCCGCACATGAAAAATAAAGTTTTTCAGAAAAAGCATGTTTTTTTTTACCGTCACAGACGTGACATCTTTATAGTATGTTTAAACAGCCCCTGCACCCGAGGGAGGTTGAGTAAAATCTTGGTTTGGGCCTCGGAGAGGCTACGGGAACCAGTAAGTTCAGTAGAACTTCGGTTTCAACCCTTTTGCCCGGTCGTAGCTCAGTCGATTAAGGCAGTGTCTGGGATGCTTCCGAACGCAGGTTCGAATTCTCGTCACAGCCCTTGTGGATTTGTTCATATAAAATATATATATATATATATATATATATATATATATATATATATATATATATATATATATATATATATATATATATATATATATATATATATATATATTAAAGTAAAAGGGTGTTTAATGGGCCCTGTGCGACCGTCAACCCTTCCTAAAAGATTTCCTATATTTTGCGAGGTCCACCCACCTATTGTTGCTGGCTATCAATATTGACGACCTTTACTACCTTGTAAACCGGATCCCCATAGCTGGGCGCCATAAAATTAAGCCAAAATCTCATTATGTGGTTTCAACAAAAAATCGTCGATTTTGGATCTATTCTGACGTTTTTTTTTCACGTTTTTACAATTTTTTGGGAGTACACAGGTCGTTGGTACTATATTTGGTTACAGAGTTTGGGCTACCAAACGGGGGATTAGCCACACACCATTTAAACATTAGGAAAGCTTTCTTAATGTATTCTGACGGTATATCAACTACGTTATTTTCTTAGTGAGGTGGCTTCAGAGATGTAAAAACAAAGATGTTAGGTAACAGTTAAGCTTGCAGTGACCTTTGATGACCTGAAAGTGTATAAAAATCATGCGATCTGAAAAGACACAATTATAAAGTGCAAACTATATCAGTTTGAACATCCCAGGATCAGCTCAAGTTCATACCACAGCCCCGAACAGTTCACTTGAACACAAGGTTCAGTTGATGGCCTCTGGAGGGAGCAGTTGTGTAGCCCGTTTGTCCTGACTTGCCATCACGTCAAAGACCCAACCTGCTAGCCTGACCAGAAAATTACGAACCCAGACAACCCACCTAACCCATCACTCCGTTGCCTTGAAAACCCGAGATATATGTTGGCTGCATTTGTAAAACGCTGTTTACCATAACGTATAAAACGCGACCTATTAGGTGAGAGGCCTGCTCGAGGCGTGACGAAGCCTCTACACCAGTGCTGTGCACACCTGCTGTACACACCTGTACACACCTGCTGTACACACCTACATATGTCACTCAACATATATGTAATTATAATTAACTCTAGAACGTCTAAAGACACAACAAACAAATAAATATGATGAAAGAAATAATGAGGAAAAATCGCTAAGCCAGAACGACTAGTTAGCACATGGAAGGGATACGAGGACAGGATAGCATCTAGGATAGAGTAGGACGGAGTGAGGGAACGGCTGCCCAACCACCTCCGTAGCGCCAGGTGACAGCGCCCTCCTCAGCACCGTCTAGACACCAACTGATGCAGCGTCTCACCCTGGCGCCAAACTGTTTAATGTATCTTAACTTAATACTCCTCCCCCCCCCTCCAGTGGCCCCCCCTAACCCCCCCCCCCCTCACGGTTCTCTGAGCTAATTCCTCGCATTTTGCACCGACTCGACCAGTCTGCTGAAAATGTAACGTATTAGCAACACTTAAACCATTGTAATATTGACGTCTTAAGGGCATCAGCCTCGACCATTTAGTGATGCTGCGACTGTTTTGAGTGAAGAAAATAGTTGTATTCTTACGGAGTGGTTCACTTGGGGGCCGGGCCATGGCCGCTCATCCAGCCTCACTTGAGAGAATACATCACACACCTGAGAGAATACAACACACCTGAGAGAATACAACACACCTGAGAGAATACAACACACCTGAGGGAATACAGCCCACCTGAGAGAATACAGCACACCTGAGAGAATACAGCACACCTGAGAGAATACAGCACACCTGAGAGAATACAACACACCTGAGAGAATACAACACACCTGAGAGAATACAACACACACCTGAGAGAATACAACACACCTGAGAGAATACAACACACCTGAGAGAATACAACACACCTGAGAGAATACAACACACCTGAGAGAATACAACACACCTGAGAGAATACAACTCACCTGAGAGAATACAACACACCTGAGAGAATACAACACACACCTGAGAGAATATAACACACCTGTGAGAATACAACACACCTGAGAGAATACAACACACCTGTGAGAATACAACACACCTGAGAGAATACAACACACACCTGAGAGAATACAACACACCTGAGAGAATACAACACACCTGAGAGAATACAACTCACCTTTGATCTTGAACCACCACAATATTAATTATTCGTATCATGAAGAATTACATTTTCTCTCTTCCGGGCAATTCATTAGAACATTGAATTATGTAAGATATAAAAGAAATACATAATATTATGTGAGAATAATAATAGCAAAGGTATATATATATATATTTGCATATCCAGTATGATAATTATACATACATTTCATTCGTATAAATGCCTGTACACAGATGTATTCGTATAAAATTGCAAACTGTAATACGAAATGAGTCCTGGAAGCATGACCAATCAGACTGTCCTGACACCATGGTTGTGCCTGCCTGCAGGTAGTGAACTACGACTCCCCGAGAGGTGGCATTACCGTTGTCACTGAGAGGGGCAACACTACCAGCGGCTACCTCTTAATACAGGTAAGACAACGACAGAGACTCACAACTGCGTTACCAAACACATGCACACAAGCTGTGTTACCTAGTAACGCGTCTTTCAACATCCCTTATTTTTATCTGAAAGCTCATATGGTCTATAGACTAAAGCTGTATGTGTCTGTGTGTGTGGGTGGGTGTTTGCGTAGCATCCCAGCACGTGTAATGGGTTCGAATCGCATTTGGTGTTCATCTCTATAAAAGAGAATGTCTGTATGTATGTATGTCTGAGGTCAGATGCTGGTGGCTAGCCTCACACAACATTCTAGGGGTGATTTGTGATTTTATTTCAGCTGTTTATCACACGAATGTTGTTTCAACGTTGCATCAAAGTAACAGTTGTATAAGTAACGTTGTGTTCTTGCTGGGTGCTTATATTGTATGTTCTGAGAGAGTTCTCTCTCTCAGAACAGAGAGAGAGAACCGGAGAGAGAGAGAAAAAGACAGACAGAAAAAAACAGACGGAGACAGTGAGAAAGAAGCAGAGAGAGAAGCAGAGAGAGAGAGAGAGACAGAGACAGATACACAGAGAAAGAGAGAGAGAGAGATAAAGAGATTGAGTCCGGGTCAATATACTCACCTAGTTGTGCTTGCAGGGGTTGAGCTGTGGCTCTTTGGTCCCGCCTCTCAACTGTCAATCAACTGGGTGAATGTGTGTGTGTGTGTTTGTGTATGTGTGTGTGTGTGTGTGTGTGTGTGTGTGTGTGTGTGTGTGTGTGTGTGTGTGTGTGTGTGTGTGTGTGTGTGTGTGTGTGTGTGTGTGTGTGTGTGTGTGTGTGTGTGTGTGTGTGTGTGTGTGTGTGCTTGTGTGCGTGTAAGGAGGCGGAGGAGTGAGTGCAGCAGATGTAAGGTCAGATGAGGTCATATATCCGTGTCTGTCTGTTGCAGGACGCCCGGGCTTCTGACAACGGCAACTACTCCTGTGTTCCCTCCAACACGGCCGCCACAACGCTCAGGGTTCATGTTCTCAACGGTAAGTACCAACGGGAGGTCTCCAGCCTCAACGGTGAATACCAACGGAAGGTCTCCAGCCTCAACGGTGAGTACCAACGGGAGGTCTTCAACCTCAACGGTGAATACCAACGGGAGGTCCCCAACCTCAACGGTGAGTACCAACAGGAGATCCCCAGCCTCAACGGTGAGTACCAACGGGAGGTCTCCACCCTCAACGGTGAGTACCAACAGGAGATCCCCAGCCTCAACGGTGAGTACCAACGGGAGGTCTCCACCCTCAACGGTGAGTACCAACAGGAGATCCCCAGCCTCAACGGTGAGTACCAACAGGAGATCCCCAACCTCAACGGTGAGTACCAAAGGGAAAGGGAAGAACGGGAGATCCAAGTTTTCAAGTGTGACAGATATATCTAACTATGCATAATTAATGGGCTGTAGGAGTGTGTGTATGGCTTCTACCTGGATTTAATCAGTAATAGCATGATTAACGACTTTAAGTGGGAGGGGCAGGGCTTATAACAGTATTGGAGGGGGAGAGAGAGAGAGAGAGAGAGAGAGAGAGAGAGAGAGAGAGAGAGAGAGAGAGAGAGAGAGAGAGAGAGAGAGAGAGAGAGAGAGAGAGAGAGAGAGAGAGAGAGAGAGAGAGAGAGAGAGAGAGAGAGAGAGAGAGAGAGAGAGGAAATAGAGATAGATGAACGTAAATAGAAAGACAAATTGGGGTATTAAGAGGATTAGAAACAAAGCTGAAGTGAGTTTTGATCTGAAAGAATTCCAGAGTTATTGAACCTCGAACGATAATGAACCCAGTAATATCCACTCTCACAATGGTATTAACCGCTTTCCTCACGCCAAGCCCTCTAACACGCGGATTAACAGGCGCTGCAGACGATGACTTACAATAACGTAGCTGAAGATATGATGACCCAAAGCACACACACCAGAAGATGATGACATGACGACGTTTCGGTCCGTCCGGTTCATGGATCGGACCGAAACGTCGTCGTTTCTCCATCTTCCGGTGTGTTCTTTGTTCATCATAACAGGTGCTGAACACTCGCCACGGGCAGAGAACAAGCCATTATAACGTGCCGTCAAGCACCACTTTATTGTAGCTTGGCTCCATTCTTGGTGGTGGTGGTACGACCCAAGCCAGTCGTACCGTCGGTGTCAAGACTGGAGCGGTTCTCAGTCTGGAAGATCTCCTTGAACCAGCAAAAAAAATTAAATATTTACCGCAGTGAGCAATAAAGGCCATGACACAGTGGAAACATTTATTCGCAACATAATTATACGATACTACAACATCACATATCATAATACAGCCCAAAATACATCAATACAACACCACGTTCCATAATACAACACATTTATAATACAATAAATAATACAGTTCATAATAGAACACCACATGCCATACTACAACGCAACATACTGTAATATAACTGCACATACCATAATGCAAGACAACATGTTAAATACAATACCACATACCAAAACTTCGGTGAGGCTATCTCCAAGCGTCTGGCCTTGATATTCAGACAGATAGACAGACAGACAGACAGACAGACAGACAGACAGACAGACAGACAGACAGACAGACAGACAGACAGACAGACAGACAGACAGACAGACAGACATTATTTTTTATTGATATAGACTGTATTACATGAGCTTTTTAGAAAGCACTAGAGTAATGCCATTGAACGTTTGAATGTTTACATCGTCTGTTTATTAGTGTTAAAAATCTCGTAAATATTAGTGCCAATAGATGCCATGAGCAACATGGACGCCAAGAATGCCTTCTATAGCAGCTTATACTTCAAAAAAATAAAGAAATATATGAGGTGATAGAAGCAAATATATGGGAAGAAAATAGATATAAAAAAGGTGAAGACAATGAAATATTGTTTTCTTTGTCTCTACTGGAGTACAGTGCATTAATTGTAAATATCTTTGACACACAGGAGAGGCGCCGGCGGCGATGCAGACCAATGGTGTCAGGAGTCTATTGGCTCGTCCCAGCGGCCTTCTCTACTACCCTCTGCAGGTGCTGTGCTTCCTCCCTCTCCTGACGCTGGTGGTCGGGGACGTCCTCCCGCCGATAGCACCGAGGGGCAGGGGCACCTGAGGTGATGGCGGCCCTGAAGGCCCACCTACGGCACAGGATAGGCTTAGATTTACTGCCTTCTGACACAGCTGAATGCTCCTGCGGCGGCCACACCCAGAACGTAGTCCCGCCTCCCGACAAGTGCCTTCAACGTGAGAAATATCAATACTCGAACATGATGTCCGATCTCTGTTCTCCGGGAGAGACTATTCGCATGTCCTGGGATCTGGATTACGACTGATTGCTCCCCTCAGTCAGAGACTGGCGCTAGGGGGCGCTCCTGGAGTCTGTGGAGTCAACCCCACCTGGTGGGGTGCTCTGATGAATGAACATATCAAACACAAACAATTATGACCAGCCAACTCACACTGGGGTGAGCTGGACCACACTGACTCAGTCATCTTTAGAAGGTAAGAAGTATAGATAGTGAAGAAGGCCCATGTGTCACCTTACTTAACCTCTTCAGTCTTGGTTGTATTCAGTTGCTCAACACAAGTTGTATACACTTAACTTCTGCTTTTGGAAATGGTGACATGTTCAATAAAACGCATTTCTTAGAGTCTGGCCATATAAAACTGTAATATATATATATATATATATATATATATATATATATTACATATATATATATATATATATATATATATATATATATATATATATATATATATATATATATATATATATATATATATATATATATACATGTGAAAGAATATTTGTCCGAAGTTGGAAGCCAGACGCTTAGGGCTAGCCTCACCCAAATTGGCAGGGGAAATGATCTAGGGTACGGGACGGACATAGGCTAGTCACGGTATCCTTAAGATAAATAATTTACGAATTATTATTAATTATTCACACCCCCGTCTAATTCTCACGGATTAAATTCCGGCCAAGTGTGAAACATTGGAGGAGATGACCCAAGACTTCTTCGCCATCTGAAATTTTATTTCCATAAACCCAAAGTAGTTTCATTGACCCTTAATGTTATATTTTATGAAAGGCATGAGGGGCTAAGCTGGTTGGGGTGATGGGTGGGGAGAGACGGGACGGGGAAGGGGGGGGGGGAGGAGGAGAGGGAAGACATGGGGACGAGGGAGGGGTGAGTGTGGGGGGACGAGGGAGGGGTGAGTGTGGGGGGACGAGGGGAGGATGGAGATTGGTGGATAGATAGATAGATAGATAGATAGATAGATAGATAGATAGATAGATAGATAGATAGATAGATAGATAGATAGATAGATAGATAGATAGATAGTTGCACTGATAGATAGATGGATAAATGGATCGATTGGTAGATAAATAGATAGATAGATGGACAGATAGACGGATAGGTAGATGATAGATAGACGGGTAGATGGATGGAGGTATAGATGGATAGATAGATGTATAGGTAGATGTATAGATAAATGGACAAATAGATAGATAGATGGATAGATATATGGATATGTATATGGATGCAAAGACGATCAGATGTGTAGAGTGATGAATAAATAGACGATAAATTAATGGATAACTTGATGAAGGGATAGGTGGATACATATACATACACATGGTCATTCATCAAAGCCACAGGTGTGGTTCGGCTACACAGGGAGGCTCTAGCCCCTGGGCCCCAAACTCTCACAACAGCAAGAGGAGTTGGAGGCTACAGGCTCCAACCCACAACCGGCCCGGAACCCACTAAGTTAACCAGAGACTTAATAAAGTCTCTCCATCCGGCTTGGAGTGGCAGGAGGTGTGGTCGTGGCTCTTCTATCCGGCTCATATGTCTGCTTGGAGTGGGAGGTGTTGCCAGACATTGGCAGACATTGCGTTGATTCGACGTCAGTCCGAGCATGTTCAGCCGACTGGGATCAGTCCTAATCCTCGTCCTTCAATTTGTATACTAAATGTTACGTAAATGTTCCTTGTCTCTGTATTACTGAAATGAAAATAATTAAACTATTCGCCAAAGATTTGTTCCAATCTTTTTTTTTCCCCCAAACCCTTTCTCAATCGTCAGTATTTGAATCAATTACGGTAATTGTTTTTTATGGTATAAAAATATATTTGGGTTATTCATTCCCTTTCCCTGGATTCATCCCTAATACCATGGGTTTAACCCTGATGCCCAGGGGTTTAACCCTATTCCCTGCATATTAGGGTTAAACTAATGATATCAGAGGTGAATCATGATATCCAGGATTCAACTGAGACACTCCGGATTCATTGCCTGGTACCCTGGGTTGAAGCCCGATACCCAGGGTTCAACTATAACATCCTGGATTCATCTCTGATACCCAGGGTTGAGCTCTGATACCCCAGGGGTGAGCTCTGATACCCCAGGGGTGAGCTCTGATACCCCAGGGGTGAGCTCTGATACCCAGAGTTGAGCTCTGATACCCTAGGCTCAGTCTTGAAACCCCGAAGTTCAACCCAAATACTCGGAGCTCATTTTCCTTCTGGAATTTAGTACTGTATTAATGGTCACCTGTAAGCTCCTGACTGAGCGAAGTCTGACCTGTGTGTGTATGTGTGAGTGTGTGTGTGTATGTGTGTGTGTGTGTGTGTGTGTGTGTGTGTGTGTGTGTGTGTGTGTGTGTGTGTGTGTGTGTGTGTGTGTGTGTGTGTGTGTATATGTGTGTGTGTGTGTGTGTGTGTTTGTGTGTGTGTGTGTGTGTGTGTGTGTGTGTGTGTGTGTGTGTGTGTGTGTGTGTGTGTGTGTGTGTGTGTGTGTGTGTGTGTGTCAGTGTGTGTGTGTTTGCATACGTGTCAGAATGTCTATATATGTGAGTGTGTGTTCAGAGCTCAAGTAAACATTGTGGATGGCAAGCAAACAGGTGTCGTGGCCTTAATAACACTCCAGAGAATGTAACATAATCAATCCTAATGTCCTATCATTAGGGAGGATCCCACTTCCTGGGATCAACCCACAAAGGATCCAAAATCATCAACACATTCCATAAAAATCTTCCTCGTCAGCGGCCTCTGTTTCGCAAGTCCAGTTTATTTTCCGGAAATTAAAATCTCTCCTAACTCACCTCAAAACCAGGTTCGTATTTTATGCATGAACCAGCTTTCCTTTCCCGGGTTTAACCACTTTTATGTATGTCGGTTTTAGGTCCCCTTATGGAAAGAATACAAATGTTTATGGAAACATACAAAACATTAATTCCTCGTATGATAAACCTCCCTAATGAAGAGACTAAGAACAATTATTTTTCAGGTATAAAGAAAATTGCAGAGAAATGGAAAACACGTTTGAAGTGGATAGAAGTATTTAATATAAATGAGACGCAGGTACTGGACGGCACAAATGGGGGCTGACGCAAGTCCAGGACGCATCTAGTGCGCTTGATGCAGGTAGAGGGCGCCACAAGTGCGCTTGACGCAGGTAGAGGACGCCACAAGTGCGCCAGATGCAGGTAGAGGACGCCACAAGTGCGCTTGATGTAGGTAGAGGACGCCACAAGTGCGCAGATGTAGGTAGAGGATGCCACAAGTGCGCCAAATGCAGGTAGAGGACGCCACAAGTGCGCCAAATGCAGGTAGAGGATGCCACAAGTGCGCCTGATGCAGGCGACGCCACAAGTGCGCCAGATGCAGGTAGAGGACGCCACAAGTGCGCCAGATGCAGGTAGAGGGCGCCACAAGTGCGTCAGATGCAGGTAGAGGACGCCACAAGTGCGCTAGATGCAGGTAGAGGACGTCACAAGTGCGCCAGATGCAGGTAGAGGGCGCCACATGCAGGTACAGGACGCCACAAGTGCGCCAGGTGCAGGTAGAGGACGCCACAAGTGCGCCATATGCAGGTAGAGGACGCCACAAGTGCGCCAGGTGCAGGTAGAGGACGCCACAAGTGCGCCATATGCAGGTAGAGGACGCCACAAGTGCGCCAGATGCAGGTAGAGGATGCCACAAGTGCGCCATATGCAGGTACAGGACGCCACAAGTGCGTCAGATGCAGGTAGAGGACGCCACAAGTGCGCCAGATGCAGGTAGAGGACGCCACAAGTGCGCCAGATGCAGGTAGAGGACGCCACAAGTGCGTCAGATGCAGGTAGAGGACGCCACAAGTGCGTCAGATGCAGGTAGAGGACGCCACAAGTGCGCCAGATGCAGGTAGAGGACGCCACAAGTGCGCCAGATGCAGGTAGAGGACGCCACAAGTGCGTCAGATGCAGGTAGAGGACGCCACAAGTGCGTCAGATGCAGGTACAGGACGCCACAAGTGCGTCAGATGCAGGTAGAGGACGCCACAAGTGCGCCAGATGCAGGTAGAAGACGCCACAAGTGCGTCAGATGCAGGTACAGGACGCCACAAGTGCGTCAGATGCAGGTACAGGACGCCACAAGTGCGCCAGATGCAGGTACAGGACGCCACAAGTGCGTCAGATGCAGGTAGAGGACGCCACAAGTGCGCCAGATGCAGGTACAGGACGCCACAAGTGCGCCAGATGCAGGTACAGGACGCCACAAGTGCGTCAGATGCAGGTACAGGGCGCCACAAGTGCGCTTGACGGTAAAAAATTGCAGACAAAATTTGCTTATCAAGAAACGCAGGTGGTCTCAGCCACTCTTATTACAACAACGTAAAGAGCAGTGAATGATATTGTCTTTTTGGAGCGACATTCACGCCTTAGTGTGAGAGTGAGGTATGAGGCACTCTCTTGTTAGTTATGAGGCGAGCTCTTGTTACGTATTATGCGGTCTCACATAACCACTCACCAACAAACCACTCTCCCACAAACCTCTCTCCCACAAACCACTCACACACAAACCACTCACACACGAACCACTCTCCCACAAACCTCTCTCCCACAAACCACTCACAAACCACTCTCCCACAAACTACTCTCAAATGACCCAGTCGTGGAATTGCAAGTTTTACACACCAACCAAGAACCATTTATATCATGACAATTTTAAGATGCATTAATTGCACATCTGGGTGCAGGGCGACTTGAAGCGGACGGTAACACATTGTCTCTGAAATGGTGTTCCAAACCCCCAAAAAAGGAGTTGAAAGTGTTTTAGAAGCAATCTATATTCACAAATAGCCTCATTAATCAACAAAATACAATTATCGTATTTAAAATGTATTTTCTGTCACAGGAAACCCCAGTGACCACTAACGAGGCCCTGTGCAGGAGTGTAGGAATGTATAATTAACCACTGTTGATGTGTGTGTGAGTGTTAAGGGGCGGTGGCATCACACCGGCTCCCATTGTCGGGCGGAACAAACACAAGCAATGAATAGCAGTATTTGGAATGCATCAGGAAGCGTCGCGGGGTAACAGCCAGAGAGAGAGGACGGTTAAGATGCTGGCTGCTGGACTCTCTCTTGGAGACCAAGAGTGGGAGAACTCTCTCCTGGAGACCAAGAGTGGGAGAACTCTCTCCTCGAGACCAAGAGTGGGAGAACTCTCTCCTGGAGACCAAGAGTGGGAGAACTCTCTCCTCGAGACCAAGAGTGGGAGAACTCTCTCCTGGAGACCAAGAGTGGGAGAGCTCTCTCCTGGAGACCAAGAGTGGGAGAACTCTCTCCTGGAGACCAAGAGTGGGAGAACTCTCTCCTCGAGACCAAG